GGGGGGGGGGGGGGGGGGGACCCCGGGTGCCCCCAGGAGGCACCAGACCCAGGAGGCACCGGTCGCTGAGTGGGGGGAGGGAGGAGGTTCCCAGTATGCACCCAGAAGTGAACTGGAACTACTTCTGGTCCACCGCCATGTGCACAGGGGATTCGGCCGCTGAACTGGGCCAAATCTCCTCCGAATCAAATCAGCGACTGAAGCTTTGCACAGCCCTATCACAGACCACTGGGGGCAGTAAACTCCAGTTTGGCCTGACTGATACTTTTCCCTGTGAAAGCCTGTAACTTGGTGGGCCTGCCATAAAGCGTTGGATCTCTCAAATTCTGTCCAAATTATGGCCACCTAGAAAGCAGTTTTCATCAATGGCTGGTAAAGACAGCATTGCAGACAAAGGATCCATCAGTGCAATTCCCTAATGTAGGGAAAGATGGAACTAATGAACTAATGGACATTACATTGTGAAGGACCTATAGTTAACAAATTGAGTCCCATTAAGAATTGGGATACAGCTGGATTGGGAAGACCATATCCTGAACTGAACTGGAGGCTGATTAGTAGATAATGCTGGCAAATGTGCCCAAACTAAATTAACAGATAGTCCTGACTGTTTCAAAGACAGAGCAGATGTTGCACTGCCCAGACAGGAAGCCTCTTTCATTTGGCTATATATGATCTTATCCTTGTCAAGGGTTTTTCACTGTGAATTAAGATGTCATGTATTGCAGTGGAGCAGTAATCATCCAGCCAACACCTGCAGTCAGGTGCATGGATCCTGGGAAAGGGTGAAGAATCCAGCCATTGGTCTCTGAGACCATATATTTATATGTATGAATATATCTATCTAATCATGTATTTGAAAGGGACTTACAGTCACCTGGTCCAACCTCCTGCACAAATACCGGAATGTTACTCTTAAAACGTCCTTGCTCAATGCTTATGCATCCTCTTTTTGAAAACCTCTAACGAAGTTCCTTGTGCAGTCTATTCTGCTGCCTTAATGTTCTAACAGTAAAGAAGTTTTTTCCTGATATCTAATCTAAATCTAATTTGCTACAATTTAAAGCCATAACATTGTGTTCCAACCTCAGCAGCAAGGGAAAACAGATGTTCTCCCTCTTCTTTATGGCAGCCTTTCAGATATTTGAAGACTGCTATCATGTCCCCCTTTAATCACCTTTTCTCTAAGCTAAACATGCCTTATTCTCTCAGCCTTTCCTTGTATGGCTTGCCTTCCAACCCCTTTATCATTTTGTCACCAACCTCTGGACCCTTTCTAACTTCTCAACATTCTTTTTCAAATTAAGAGCCCAGACCTCCACACAATACTCTAGATGAGAGCTTACCAGGGCTGAGCAAAATGGCAATATCATCTCTCAAGTCTTGCACTTAATATTCCCTTGGATGCAGCACAAAATTGCATTTTATGCAACTGTATAACATATTCATGTTGAGTTTATGATAGACCAACCCCCGTGACAAATCTCCTTCTCGATGTTACTACCTAAGACAGTTCTCCCTCATTCTGTATTTGTGCTTTTGACTATTTTTCCTTAGGTGTAGCACCTTACAACTGTCTGCACTGAATTTCATCCTGTTGTCTCCAGCGTAGCTTCCTAATGCATCAAGATCCTTCTGAATTCTACTCCTATCCTCCAAAGTGTTTACAATCCTTTCCAATTTCATGCATTTGCAAACTTGATCAAGCAGCTCTCTATTCTGACATCCAAATCATTAATAAACATGTTAGTTGTGCCAAACCCCTAAAGAACCCCACTTGAAACCACCTGCCATTCTGAAACTGATTCATTTATAATTACCGCTGTTTGCAGTTACTGAGCCAATGATCTATCCGTCTTATAGCAATTCAGTCTAGTCCACATTTCTTCAGTGCTCTTACATGAATATTGTGTGGGACTTTTATCAAAAGCCTTTAGAAAGTCCAACTACACCATGTCCACTGCATTCCCTTCATCAAACCAACTTTTTATTTTAGTGAGGAGGAAGATTAGTTTGGTTTGGCATGATTTTTTCTGGCCTCTGGAAACTGCTTAGTGGCTGTGGAGTGGGGGAGGACATAGCTGAAAGACCAAGTTAAACCCACCGTCTGGAAAGCATGCTGCTGTATTCTGTCTCAGTGATGCTGAAGCGCCCTGGCAAGTACAGCAGGGAGCTTCATGTTTGTCCATGGCCTGAAGTGTTCCAAATTGGAGTGGAACTTGGAGCACTTCAAATGTACATCTGTCCAAGGCCTTTGTTGTGTTCTCTCAGCAAAAATTCCAAGGGATACTCTGTATTAACTTCCTGGAGTTGCTCAAATAGGGGTGGGACTGGACCAGGTGAAAGGGCTTTCAGGCTAGGGATAGAAGTTATACATAAACTGGTTTAAGTGATCAGAAACCGGTTTAAACCTGAAACAGAACAGAAGCTCAGTGCACATAAACCAGTTTCAAAATAGCCAAAACCAGTCTGAGATAAACCTGGTTGAATGTAGAATCAGACTTAACTGATCAAGGTCAAACCGGTTACTGAACTTCTGTCCCAGACTCCTTCCTGGTTTAAGTTAAATCTGAATCCCCCAGCATTCCAGCGTGCTCTGCAGCCCTAGGCTGGGCTAGGCTGTCTGCTCCAGCAGAGCAGGGCTGGCCCCACACCTCTGCTCTCTAGCTAGAGCAGCGGCAGACACTGGCTCCCCTAACGCGAAGGGTGCAGGGAAGGGGTTTATTCCCAGCTCCCTCCCCTGTCCCACCAGCACAGACCCCAACCAGTCTGCCAGGCAGGGGCACAGCAGTCCATCAGGCATTTCATCCCACTTGCCTTTTGAGTGGTGGGGTATGTGGCCACCCCAGCAGCAGCTTCAAGCAAATGGGGGCCAGAGGGAGGCTTAATTCCCTCCTGTACTCCCTGTCCCACCAGCAGAGACCCGAAATGCGGTCTGCCTGGCTGGGGCAGAGCATCCTGTGTCAGGATCCCTCAACCCCTTTTGCTGCTGAAGTGGCAGGGGTAGAAGCATGGCCAGATGCCCAGCTGCCATGGCCCCCTGAGGCAAAGGGGGCAGGGAGGGGGTTTATTCCCTCCTCCATCCCCTCCTCCCCAAGGAACTGCAGCAGGGGTTTGCCAGCCCCAGCCACCACCTCTGCCACTCACCGCCAGCCAGGCAGACCCCAGCTAAGGTTCCTGGGGGGGGGGGGGGGGGGGGGGGGGGGG